CAAAAATCAACTCAAAATGAATCTAAGATTTAAATGTAAGAACTAAAACCATACAACTCTCAAAAGAAAGCATAGGTGAAAATCTTTATGTTGGAATTAGGCAATGGTTTATTAGATATGACACTCAAAGCACAAGCAACCAAAGAAAAAATAGGTATATCGAACTGAGGCTGAGTGCAGTGGCTCGTGTATGTTAAATCTCAGCACTTAGGGAGGCTGAGGCAGGAGGATTGTTTGAGGCCAGGAGTTCAAGACCCTGTCTCTATAAATATAATAATAACAACAACAACAACGACAAACGAAAAGACCACCCACAGAATGTGAGAAATTATTTAGCTCATACATTAGGGCATAGTATCGTGAATATACAGGGTGGCCATAAAGTTCATGTGCCTATTTAAATTGCACACAGAGTTTATGGCCACCCTGTATAAAGAATTCTTACAATAACAAAAAATTTTAATGGGTAAAAAATTTGAAGACACTTCTCCAAAAAGCCACACAAATTGCCAATAAGCACATGAAAAGATATACATCTTTAGTCATCAGGAAATGTAGATCAAAACCACAAGATACCATTTCACACCAATTAAGATGGCCATAATCAGAGAGACAGATGAGTAAAGTTGGCCCTCTGTTTCCGTGGGTTTGACATCTGAGGATTCAATCAACTAGGGCTCAAAAATATTTGGAAAAAAATAGCATCCATACTGAACACGCCATTTTCTATCATGGACTTGAGAATCCACAGATGTGGATATCTATGGGAGGTTGTAGAACTCATCTCCCACAGATACTGAGGGACAACTGAATTGTCTGAGTATGTAAAAACTGGACTTCTCATACACTGTTGCTGCTTTGAAAAAGTCAGCAGATCCTCAAATTGCAAAACATATAGTTACCATATAACCCAGCAATTCCATTCCTATGTATCTACTCAAGGGAACTGAAAACAAAACATTCATACCAAAACCTGTACATGAATGTTCTTAGTAGCATGTTTTTTTTTTGTTTTTTTTTTGTTTTTTGAGACAGAGTCTCACTATGTAACCCTCGGTAGAGTGCGTGGCGTCACAGCTCACAGCAACCTCCAACGTTGGGCTTAAGCAATTCTCTTGCCTCAGCCTCCCAAGTAGCTGGGACTACAGGCACCTGCCACAATGCCCAGCTATTTTCTTTTGTTGTTGTGGTGGTGGTTGTTGTTTAGCTGGCCTGGGCCAGGTTGGAACCTGCCAGCCTGGATGTATGTGGCCAGTGCCCTACCCGCTGAGCTACAGGCGCCACTGTATTTTTTGTTGCAGTTGTTTAGTTGGCCTGGGCTGGGTTCGAACCCACCACGCTTGGTGTATGTGGCTGGCGCCATAACCACTGTGCTACAGGTGCTGGGCCCTTAGTACCATTTTTCTTTTACTTTTCTTTTGAGACAGAGTCTCACTCTGTTGCCCCTGGCTTGAATGCTATGTCGTCACAGCTCATAACAATCTCAAATTCTTGGGCTCAAATGATCCTCCTGGCTCAGCCTCCCAAGTAGCTGCGACTACTAGCCATGGCTGGCTAGTTTTTCTATTTTTAATAGAGACGGGGTCTCTACTGTAGCTCAGGCTGGTCTTGAACTCCTGAGTTCAAGCAATCCACCTGCCTTGGCCTCCCAGAGTGCTAAGATTACAGACAAGAGCCACAGCCCCAGGCCCATAGTAGCATTATTATTATTAATTTTTTTTTTTGCAGTTTTTTTTTTGGGGGAGGCCAGGGCCAGGTTTGAACCCACCACCTCTGGTATAAGGGACCGGTGCCCTACACCTTTGAGGAGTAGGCGCTGCCCAGTAGCGCCTTTTTTTTTTTTTTTTTTTTTTGAGACAGAGCCTCAAGCTGTCCCCTTGGGTAGAGTGCTATGGCTTCACTGCTCACAGCAACCTCCAACTCCTGGGCTCAAGCGAGTCTCCTGCCTCAGCCTCCCAAGTAGCTGGGACCACAGGCGCCCGCCACAATGCCCGGCTATTTTTTGGTTGCAGCCATTATTGTTGTTTGGCGGGTCCGGGCTGGATTTGAACCCGCCACCTTAGCTGCTTGAGCCACAGGCGCCGAGCCACTAGTAGCATTATTCTTAATAGCAAAAAGTGGAAACAACCCAAATACCTATCAGCTGATGAGTGAACAAAAGGTAAAACTATTTAGCCATACAAAGGAATGAGGATGGAGTAATGGTGAGTAAAAACAGATCCTGTCCCACCCAAAGTAAGTGGATAAATAGTAAGTGGATAAGAAGGGCTAGAAGTTAGTCATCACTCTTTTCTGGGCTTCTTTGTCCTCATGAAAGAGACAAGAGCTAGACTAAAAGCCTGTTAGTAGAAGGTCTCTGAGGATCCTGAGGGCCTACTTCACCTCTAAGAGTTCATGTGCGTTAAGAGCTTAGGCCCTTGAGAGCCTGGTCCCATCAATCATCACAATTGGACCTAAGGCCACGCCCAACTTCAGTGAGTCTGCTGCTTCTCAGTAAAGTAAGAACAATATCTTCTCCCTCCCAAGATTACTGTTGGAGTGTAAATGAGATAACACGTATAAAGTGTCAGGGACAGGCATGGCACACAGTTAATCCTCAACACATGGACAGTCCTTGCTTTGATTCCACAGGCATTTCCTGAGCAGCAATACTGGGCCAGGCCCATGCTAGAAGCTAGAAGACAGAGGAATTCCACTCTGAATAGCCAAAGCAGTGGCTTCCAGCCAGGTGGGAAGACAGCTTCATAAACAACAATAGAGGGGGAGTGATGTCACTGCTAAAAAAAGACAGCAGCCATCCACAGAGAGGCAGACCATGTGTGATGCAGACCCTGGGACTGACAAAGATGTCCCAACCGAAAGGCACAGTCCAGATGGGGAGAGAGGCCCTCACAGGGGTAAGGGCAAGGCACAAAGTTAAGGGACTGGCCTCCATTTACACTAGAATGCAGCCCTGCTTGTCTTTTATCGTCTAATTCATACTCAAATGTCCCCCCAAACTCTAAGAACAGCAACTGCAGTTAATTCAAAAGTTAGCTTTCAGGAGCCGGAGCCCATGGCATGACCCGAGTGTATGTGTGGGAACACAGTGGTGAACATCATGTTGCTCTGTGATCTTTAGCACGTCAGGACCCCTTGTCAAGCCTCTACTTCCCCAGCTGTAAAATGAAGACTTTAATGGTACTGACCTCATAGGGTTATGGTGACAAATGAGATAATAACTGTAAGGTCATTAGGCCAAGTACCTAATATTTAGTGACCAGATCAATAAAGAGTAGTTATTATTAGGAAAAAATAGATTCCACTTTGAAAGTAAGGAAATGAAATTCAGAGAAGTGAGACGACTTGCCCATCCTCACACTGCTAGATTGTGGATTCAGGATCTGAACTTGGATTTGAGCATCAAAGGCTCAGTGCCTTATCATCTCCTACTCCAGAATCTTCAGCAGATTCCCTGTGGTCCACTAGATGGAATTCATCCTTGCCACAAAGTGAAGATTCACAAAAGCTTATGGCTAGAAAGACCCTGGGCAAATTCTCTCATCTTGGGTTTCTTGATCTGAGATCCCTGAGTAGGTCTGGGAGGGTCTGTGAATTCCTACATGTGGTATATGCAAAATTTGTGCCTTATGGAGATTCTCAAAAGGGTCTATGGCCTCAAAAGTAACAAACCACTGACTAGACCTTAACCTACTGTGTTGTTTTATTTACTTAATGGAGACAGATACAGTACCCACCTTGAAAGGCTGTGAGGGGATTAAATGAGGTAGCTTGTGAGAAGTACCTGAAACATCCTAAGCTTTTGCTTTATTTTGGTTTCCTTCTCTACTTCCCTACCCAACCTATTTCCATCATTCATCAAGTATTATTGAGCATCTACTGTGTGGTAGGCACCATATGGCATCCAAGGCTGCCTCTCCAAGACTGAGCTCAAACATCCTGCTCCAACATTCAGGCCCTTCCTCATTATCTACTACACTGAACTCCTCACTGTCTGTAAAGCAAGCCAAGCAGCTCTCACAATTATATGCCTTTACTGCTTTGGTTCCTGCTGCTTGGAACACTGTCCCGTCCCAGTCTCACCTCCACCCCTACCTCCTTCATTGCCTATTCATTCCTATCCATCCTTCAAAGCTCCCAAAGCCTCTCCCTGATTCCTCCAGAAAAATACTGTTTGCTGCCTACCTTCTTAATTAGACTAAAAGCAAGACTGCGTCTTACTCATGGTTAATTCCCTAGGACCCAACCTGATTGATTCCATTTAACTAAAACTCATATCCTCCGGCTCTTCAGATTTTGAACATCCCATTACAACCCAGAAACAGTTAAGTTATTAAGAGCAGCCAAATGCTGACTGAGATGGGGGTAGGGATCACAAATATGCGTATTTTTAAAACTGTCCCAGATCCTGATGCAAGTGGTTTCGGAGATTTAAGGAAGCACTAGGTCACCCTGAAAATTCCTGGAAAAATGAAAGTTTTTTCCTTTCCCCCCTAAGGCTTACTCTTCTGTCCCAGGTAAGAAAAATCTGGGACCTGGCAGGCTAGGAAACAAAGCATAGGTTCCAAAATTAGCTCAGCCGCTAACGTGCTATGGGACTCCACCCTCTCTATGGTCTCTATTACAACGCCTACCACCACCCTTGCACCTGTGTGTCCCTGAGGTTGTGACTATCCCACTCTCTGAGCCTCAGTTTCCCCGTCCTTCTCATTGGACGCCGCCAGGCCTGAAGCTCTATTAGCTACGGTGTGCATACCCGTAGCTTCCAGCCAACCCAGTCGGTCCTCTCCCCTCCTTCCCAAAGTTTCATCCGCTAAGGTGCAACCCACGCACCCCTATGCCAAGGCCGCCCGCACACGGACTGCCCCTTCCCGGCCACCGTCCAGCTCCCCGGGCAAGGCTCGCCTTCTCCGCCCTGCTCTTTAAGCAGAACGGCGACGGTCCGCGCAGGCGCACTGGGTCGCGTTGCGATCCCACCCACCGAGCCTGGGTAACGGCGCGAGGGACCTGAGTGCTGCGCGCGGCTGGACGGCGGACAAGTAGGTTGGGGCATGGCAACGGCGGCCGGCGTGGGTCATGATTCCTTGTGAGGAAAGACTTGAGGGAGGGGTCTGCAGAGCGATCGGAACCCGGAGGCTGGGAATGCTTGTGGCTCAAACCTGTCGCACCCATGGGGCAACTGGTGTCCAGTGAGGGGGTTGGGCTAGTTTGTGTGGACATCAGATTTTCTAGATCTCTTGCTTCTTGATCGGGCTGACGTTGGGGACACCTTGCCAGTGAGGGTAGAACCTGAGTTAAAGAAACAGCGGGAGCGATTAGATCCAAACTTTGTCCAGGTGGGAGCGAAGGGGCCGGTGAGACAGGCCTGGGCAGGCAAGGGCCCCAGGCAGGCACTGGCCTCGCCCTAAGGATTAAAGTCCTGCCAGTTTCCCGTGGGCGTCTGAAGGCTTTCGTCTGTCATTCATTCATAGTTCATTCGTTAGCGTTCATTGAATACAGCTCTAGGCGCCAGTCACAGGCAGAAAAGTGATGAAGACAAGCACTGTCTCACAATACAGGGATAAGTAATGGGCTATAGAAGCCCTGGGCGTAGGGAACAAAACGAAATAGTGAACGCTGGGGAGGAGTGGTGGAGAGTGTTCCAAAGCGAAAACCGCACGTGCCAAGACCTGGAAGGGACAGAGGCTGGTGTATTCCGCTCACTGATTCAGAGGTCATTCATACCTCTGAATCTTAGTGCTCAGAGAAGAGATGATCGTGACCCAGGCTAGGAAGTGGTGAGGCAAAGAAATGAAGGAATTCAAAGTACTGTATATAATTAGGCAGCAGAATCCATAGGATGGGGTGGGGGGAGTGGAATGTAAGAAAGAAGTACTGCATACCAGGGCGGGGTTCATCAGAAGAGAAGCCGGATTTGTGGGGAGATGACCAATTCTACTCTGGTTCGGTGGGGACTCCCAGGAAGCAATAGGATATTCTAGTTTGAAGGTAGATACTGCTGTGAAGATACAGTATTTGAGTATCATCAGCAAAACAGAAATAAAGCCACAAGAAGATGGGAGACTAGAATAAGAAAAACGAAGGGCTCAGTATTTTTCATAGTCTTATTCTTCTTTCTATCCCAGTACCCAACCAAGAGCCTGGCATTAAGGCATACCAGTGTTAACCAACTAAACAAAAGGCCATCAGTAGACAAAGATGTTGAAATTTCATAGTTGTGAAGAGATAGGGGCCAATAGAGGGTTTCATCTCTTTATTTTCGAAGTAATGGGTTCTTGTCCTGGCTGTGCCACCAGGCTATGTGATTTCTAGCAAGTCTTGTCCACCTGTAAAGTGAGAACAGCCCAAAAAAGGTCTCATGTACAGAGCTCCAAACAGTGCTGAGAAATTTCACACAGCTTTTTCTCATTTAATCCACATGGCACCCTTACTTAAAAAGGGAAATAATATTATTATAGACTCAAACCCAGGTCTGCTTGACTCTAGAACTAAGACTACCCTCATCTATTTCTCACCCAACAGGGATATTGTTAGGACCCTCTTGAGATCACATGCTCATTCTTTCAAAGCATTGTGCTGAGGCTGGCAGACTTTCATGATTGTACTAGCACCAGTGCTGTCATTCTAAGAGGGGGACAGAGTTGAATGTGATGGAGGCTACCTATCATTGTCTAACTCTTTCGCTGGGGACCACTGAGTTGAGCAGCCACATTTTGTTCTTAAAATTAAACAACAATGGAGAAGAACAAAATTAGTGATTGGTATTTCCAGATTTTTATCAGGTCATAAACCCCTGAGGCCAGCTGCAAAATGAATGAGCATCAACGGGTGGGTTGGTATACTTCCATGTGTCACTGGGCAACTAGTCTGACTTCCTGGACATGTGGGTGTCAGTTATTCCCATCCTACTATTGTAATTTCTCAAAATATTTTCTGTCTTTTGGTGCTCTGATAATAGCTGTCCATACATAGAATGTAATAATTTCCTGCTTCTGGCTAGTATGAGGGAGAAGTTCACCCTATCTGCATGTCATGGTATTCCCCAAATTTATTTATTTATAATTTATTTGAGATTTGCTGACCTGAATTATTAGAACTAGAAGAGAAATTCATAATCTACTGCAGTGATACCCATCCCAGGAAAGCTTGTTAAAAATATAGACCCTAAATCCTTCCCTTTCTTTAGACTTCTTGAACTCAAATGTCTGGAGTGGGACCAAGGAATCTGTGTTCTTTGGTCCCCAGAATGTTCAGCCAGGTTTGGAAATCACTGACCAACCCCCAGTCCCCTGCTTCACAGGTAGGAAATCTGTAACCCTGGAAGGAGAAGGAACTTACTCTGATCATATCTGATTTTTTAGTGCCAGTTTCTCTAATGAAGGGCACTAGGCTAGGAGTCCTGAGATATGAGTTCAAGTCCAGGCTTCATCACTCATTACTTGGGGCAAGTCATTTCACCGCTTTGAGCCTATGCTTCCATACTATGAGAATAATGCCATTATATTGGGAATCAAAAGAGAAAGTGACAATGGAAATGCTTTGTCAAGCTTTCTGTTTTGTGCACATTGAAGTTGTTAAAGGCTGTAACCAGCCAGTGTTTACTCCCGTGCACCACACTGTCCTTTCCAACAGATGTTAGGGTCCCACAGTGTTGGGCTGGTCAACTGTTTCAGTAGCTACGGGGCCCCAGGCCCTCTCACCAAGCACTCCTTTCTCCTCCTGTCACAGGTGTTGGGATGGCGACCAGCTGGGAGAGCCTCTTGCAGGATGAGCAGCAGCTGGAGGAGCTGGCACGACAGGCTGTGGACCGGGCCCTGGCTGAAGGAGTGTTACTGAGAACCTCACAGGAGCCCAGCTCCTCGGATGTAAGCCCCCTGCCCCTCCCCACAGCATTAACCACACTGTTCTGGCTCCCACTGCCTACTGTCTGGCCCGTACCAAGCCAGGGGCAGCTCCATTACATGAGAGACCACATCTCTTTTGAATTATTTTTCTCAATCACTAAACTGATTTCTACAAGTAGCATAATCAAATTTAAATGTGGGCTTTGAAGTCTTACTTCAGCAAGTCACCCTTATAGTTTCTTTAAAAATAAAAAAGGAAGAATAGGATCAACTTCATTGGGTTGATAAGAGAATTAGAAGATAATTCACTTAAAGCACTTTGCCCCATGAGCTCCCTAATCATACTGCCTTCTCTATAATTGGTTCGTGACATAGCCTTTTAGGTCTTTGTGCATTTATATACATACGTACATTTATAGGTATATATAGAAATACGTAGTTTTTTTAAAAATTGGATTGTGTATATTATCTTATGATGTGTTTTTGTTTTCCATCCAATAGTTTGTCTTAGAACTCTTTCTAATGCCTTCCATTAGGGTCAGCTTCATGCTGATGCATAGTATTCCAGGTGTGGATATATCACGGTTTAACTTTCCTTTAGCTATTTAGGTGATTTTTAGGGACCATACACATACATGCCTATTTGGGTACTTAGGTGAGTTTTCTCTAGGCTTAATATATAAAAGTAGAACTAGTGAGTCAAAACCATAACTTTTTAAAATCTCATACTTTAAATGTTTTTTCTTTTTCTTTCTTTTTTTTTTTTTTTTCGAGCCAGAGTCACATTCTGTTGCCCAGGTTAGAGTGCTGTCATCATACCTCACAGCAACCTCAAACTCCTGGGCTCAAGTGATCCTCCTGTGTCAGCCTCCCAAATAACTGAGACTACCAGTACCCATTACAATGCCCAACTAATTTTTTCTATTTTTATTTTTAATTAATTAATTTTTTGAGACAGAGTCTCAAGCTGTGGTCCTGGGTAGAGTGCTGTGGTGGCATCACAGCTCACAGCAACCTCCAGCTCCTGGGCTTAAGTGATTCTCTTGCCTCAGCCTCCCAAGCAGCTGGGACTACAGGCACCCATTACAATGTCCAGCTATTTTTTGGTTGTAGTTGTCATTGTTGTTTGGCAAGCCCAGGCTGGATTCGAATCTGCCAGCTCTGGTGTATGTGACTGGCTCCTTAGCAGCTTGAGCTATAGGCGCCAATCCATTTTTTCTATTTTTAGTAGACACAGGTGTCACTCTTGTTCAGGCTAGTCAAGTGATCCTCCTACCTTGGCCTTTCAGAGTGCTAGGGTTACAGGTATGAGCCACTGTGTCTGGCCTTAACCAGATTATTTTTAAAAAGTCAGAGGCAACATTAATTAAAAAAAAAAAAAACTCATGAAGGCGGGGCACGGTAGCTCATGCCTGTAATCCTAGCACTCTGGGAGGCTGAGGGGTAGATTGCCTAAGCTCACAGGTTCAAGACCAGCCTGAGCCAGAGTAAGACCCCAACTCTAAAAATAGCCAGGTGGGCACCTGTAGTCCCAGTGACTTGGGAGGCTGAGACAAGAGAATCACTTGAGCCCAAGAGTTTGAGGTTGCTGTGAGCTATGATGCCACTGCTCTCTACCAAGGAGACAAAGTAAGACTCTAGCAACCCAACTCCAACTTATTTTGAAAAATTAGATCATGGGTGGCACCAAAGGAGTAGGGTGCTGACCCCATATGCTGGAGGTGGCGAGTTCAAACCCAGCCCCGGGCAAAAATTGCAAAAAAAAAAAAAAAAAAAAATGAGATCATCTGGCAACTCTGGTTCATTTTTCTTACATGGCAGTGATTGACTAGAGCAGAGTTTTGGGCTGCCATCTTTAGATAAGAAGCAAGTTCTTCTATTTGCCACAATTCCCATCTCTCCCTATTATTGTTTCCTTGAGTCAAAGCAGAATTTTATTGTCATGCATATGTTATAGTTTTTTAAAATAGTAGAACAATGTTATTCTATATTTATGTCTCTATCAAAAGTATGTTTCAGCCTTTTGCCTGTGGACAGCAGAAGACAGCTATGTACTATTGATCCTAAATTCAGGAAAGCATAGAGTCCTGAGGACAAAGGCAGAAGGAAGTCTTAGCAGAAAAACTCTCTGAGAGTCTTTTAGACCAGATGGAACTTGTTGGGGAAGGCAGAGTTCTGAGATTAAAAGCCAAGGAAACGCCCCCTGTAGTCATATACATGTACTCATGGTATTAGGTCATCCCTTACATAGTCTGTAATGATTCCCGTTGTAACTCATAAAGGCTTCAGGCTGAATTAACCTTATTCTTACAAATACTTTTCCTCAGTTTTATCTTAAAATAGATACTGAGACTAGGCTTGGTGGCATGCCTCTAGTCCCAACTACTCAGGAGGCTAAGGCAGGATGCTCACTTGAGCCCATTTATGTCTGAGATGAAGATACCTGTGGCAGATAATGGTAACAACTGTGAAAGGCACTGGACTCTAGCCTGGGGCAACATATCAAGACCACATCTCTGAAAAAAAAAAAAAAGATGCTGAGAAAATGCTGAGGAGGGTAATTTGGGTGTTAGCTAGCAAAATTTAAAATGGATTTATGTAACATTTACAGTTTTTTAAAATTTTTATTTCTTTTATTTAAAACAAATGCTTTTTTAGAGATGGGATCTCATTCTGTTGCTCAGGCTGGAATGCAGTGGTATAGTCATAGCTCACAATAGTCTTGAATTCCTGGACTCAAGCTATCCTTCTGGCTCAGCCTCCCAAGTAGCTGGGACTACAGGCACATGCCACCATGCTTGGCTAATTTTCTAAATTTTTTTTTAGAAATAGGATCTTATTATATTGCTCTGGCTGGTCTTGAACCCCTGGGCTCAAGGGATCCTGCCTCAGGCTCTCAAAGTGCTGGGATTACAGATATGAGCCATCTTGCCTGCCTGCATGTTTACGTTTAGAAATTTAGAATTTAGGGCAGTGCCTGTGCCTCAGTGGTCAGGGCACTGGCCCCATATACCAAGGGTGTCGGGTTCAAACCCAGCCCTGGCCAAACTGCAACAAAAAAATAGCCGGGCGTTGTGGCAGGCACCTGTAGTGTTCCAGCTACTTGGAAGGCTGAGGCAAGAGAATCTCCTAAGCCCAGGAGTTGGAGGTTGCTGTGAGCTGTGTGAAGCCATGACACTGTACCCAGGGCGATAGAGTAAGACTCTGTCTCTACAAAAAAAAAAAAAAAAGAAAGATATTTAGAATTTATGGGCTTTCTCATACACAAAATACCTAGAATACATATCCTAGGATACCCACTGAAGCACTGATGGTAATAGGGAAAAAAGCACCTAAATATCGATATAAGGCTAGATTCAATAAATTAGGGCATAACCAAAAAATGAAATACTATATAGCCATTAAAAAGAATGTGAGTGGCCAAGGGTATTGGCTCACACCTATAATCCTAGCAATCTGGGAGGCGAAGGCAAGAAGATTGCTTGAGATCAGAAGTTTGAGACCAGCCTGGGCAAGAGAAAGACCTTGTCTCTACGAAAAATACAAAAATTAACTAGGCATATTGGCACATGCCTATAGTCCCAGCTATTCAGGAGGCTGAGCCAGGAGGATTGCTGGAGCCCAGGAGCAGTAAGCTATGATGACACCATGGCACTCTAAGCCAGGCAACAGAGCAAGACTCTGGCTCAAAAAAGACTGCTCCATTTGAATGTATAAGGAAATATTTAGAAATCTAGGGAAAGAACAATGTATATATAACATAATGTGTATGTTAAAAGAGAAACTATGTATGTATACATGGATGTCAGTATAAAGATGTCTGGAAGGATGGGTGAGGCAGTAGTCTACCATTTGCCTCTGGGGAGGAGAACTGGGTGACTGGAGCGAGAATGGAAGTGAAACATACTTCTGATTATGTATTCTATGTCTCTTTTGAATTTTGTATTGTGTGTGTGTATTATCTATTCAAAATAATACTATTCCAAAAATAAATATACAAATGCCAAGTTCTTTTTTTTTTTTTTTTTGATACAGTCTCACCCTGGGTAGAGTGCCGTGGGGTCATGGTTCACAGCAACCTCTAACTCTTGGGCTTAAGCAATTCTGTTGCCTCTACCTCCTGAATAGCTGAGACCACAGGCGCCTGCCAGGACAGCTGGCTAGTTTTTCTTTTTCTTTTCTTTTTTTTTTTTGAGACAGAGTCTCAAGCTGTTGTCCTAGATAGTAGAGTGCTGTGGCATCACAGCTTACAGCAACCTCCAGTTCTTGGGTTTAAGCGATTCTCTTGTCTCAGCCTCCCAAGTAGCTGGGACTATAGGCACCTGCCACAATGCTCGGCTATTTTTTTTTTTCTTGTCAATGTTGTTTGGTGGCCGAGGCTGGATTTGAACCCACCAATTCCAGTGTGTGTGGCTGGCACCCTAGCCTCTTGAGCTACAGAAGCTGAGCCTAGTTTTTCTATTTTTAGTAGAGATAGGGTCTCACTCTTGCTCAGGCTGGTCTTGAATTCCTGAGCTCAAGCAATCTACCTGCCTTAGCCTGTCAGAGTGCTAGGAAATGCCAAGTTCTAACACCATAAACTACCAAGTTCTAACTACCATAGTACCATAATGGCAAACTGATATGAACTAAAGGTTAAACTCAGGAATGCTTCATAATACAAGTCACAAGGCCATCTTATCATCTGTGAGCCAAGTTCTAGTTCATTTTTTGTTGAGAATCTCAGAATGTATTTCCCTCTTCTAAAAACAGTATCCTAGATGGCCTTTGGGTTTCTTGGCTATTTGTTAAAGTCCAAAGAATCCAGAATCCCGCTGAATTCTAGGCCTGTTAACCTGAGTCACCATCTCTAACATTGGGGGGAACCACTCGTGACCTCCTGTCTTCTACTCCGGAGGTCATAGTTTACTTCTGATGCAGCCCTACAAGCAGGACTCTTCCTCTGCCCAATCAAAAGGCAGAGGACTGGGGTGTGAGCTCCTGACACTTGGAGGGACTTGAGCTTGAACATTAACCAGCTAGGAGCTCATGTGTGTTTGTGTGTGTGTGTGTTGTTTAGTAACCATCCTGGTTCAAATCCCAGCATCACTTACCAGCTGAATATAATTTTGGACCTATCTGTTTTAGGTCTCTTATCTGTTAAGTGTGGATAATAATAGTATCTTCCTCACAGGATTATATGATTAACCCATGTAAAGCATTTAAAATAGTGCCCTGCATATAGTATGTGTTCAATAATGTTTTGTGGCTTCTTCTCTCTTTTTGTTTTTTTAAGAGATAGGGTCTTGCTCTATCTTTCAGGCTAGAGTAGTGGCATGATCATAGCTCACAGCTGCTTTGAATTTCTGGGTTCAAAGGATTCTCCCACAGCCTCTCTAGTAGCTAGGACTATAAGTACACACCACCATACTCAGCCGATTCATTTCTTTTCTTTCTTTTTTTTTTTAAGAAACAGGGTCTTGGTATGGTGCCCAGGCACTGGTCTCAAACTTCTGGCCTTAACTCATCTTTCCACCTTGGTCTCCCAAAGTGCTGGGATTATAGGCATGACCCATCATGCCCAGCTACTTCTCATTCTCTTAATTGTAGAGGTAGAATATCATAGAATCTGTAAGTTCTCTTTAAATACCTTCTTCCCCTCTCATCCCTCCCAAGGTAACCACTAATCTGTAGTCGGTGTGTCCTCAGTAAATGTAGGCCAGACATACCATGGGGTTATCAAGGGGGTTGTGTTTGCAGGAAGACAACCCATTCACGGGTGCTCTACCTCTGCCCCATTCTCTCTCCTTGATCAGGTGGTGAGCTATGCTCCATTCACGCTCTTCCCCTCAGTGGTCCCTGGTGCCCTGATGGAGCAAGCCTATGCTGTGCAGATGGACTTCAACCTGCTAGTGGATGCTGTCAGCCAGAATGCTGCCTTCCTGCAGCAAACGCTCTCCAGGTACCAGGTGGTGAAGCATGGGGAGCCAGGAGCTGCTAAAACCAAGGGTTGAGATGACTGGGGAGCCAGGAGGTGTTGCCGTGTCAGTTGATTTGGTGGGATACAGGACAGGGAAAAGAAAAACTAGTAGGAGTCAAGAAAGCTGTGTCTGCCACTTATTTACATGGCCTCAAGCAAGTCCCTTTCCTTTTCTGAGCTTCAGTTTCTTCATCTGAAAAATGGAGAGATTGGCTTAAATCTAAGGTCCCTTTCATTGTTGACTTTCTGTGAGATGTGACCCTCCTGCTTTGAAGATTGATATATCCATTTGTACTTAGAGAAAGTCAGCCTTATTTTCAATGAAAACAGAGGATAAGAATGGTTATTTGGTTTAAATTCAGATGTCCTACTTCTTCTGTGCAGTCGCCTTCTCTTGTCACCTCAGGCCTCTCATCTTTGGGTGGGATGGGGTCCAGACTGGGCCACACCAATACTTTGTTTTAGAATTAAATATATATAAAAGTTTTATACACACATACATACTAGTGTATATATACCATACAGGTTGAGCATCCCTAATCCAAAATCCAAAATTTTTTGAGCACCAATATGCCACCACAAGTGGAAAATTCCACACCTGACATTATGTGACAGGTCATAGTCAAAATAGTCAAAACTTTGTTTCGTGCACAAAATTTATTAAAAATAGTGTGTAGGCTGGGCACCTATAGCTCAACCGGCTAAGGCGCCAGCCACGTACACCTAAGGTGGCAGGTTCGAATCCCCAGCCCGGACCCGCCAAGCAACAATGACGGCTGCAACCAAAAAATAGCCGGGCGTTGTGGTGGGCGCCTGTGGTCCCAGCTACTTGGGAGGCGGAGGCAGGAGACTTGCTTGAGCCCAGGAGTTGGAGGTTGCTGTGAGCTATAATGCCACGGCACTCTACCCAGGGGGACAGCTTGAGGCTCTTTCTCAAAAAAAAAAAAAAAATAGTGTGTAAAATTACCTAAAGACTATGTATTATATATAAGATGACTATGAAGCACAAATGAATTTTGTATTTAGACTTGGGTCACATCTCTAAGATATCTCATTATGAATATGCAAATATTCCAAAATCCAAAACACTTCTGTTCCTAAGCATTTTGGATAACGGATACTCAACCTGTAATTATGTGTCTTTGATTAATATTTCAAGAATAACTAGATTATTTTGCTAGAGACCAAATCTTTATTTTTTTTTTGGCCAGGGCTAGGTTTGAACCCACCACCTCTGGTATATGGGGCCAGCACCCTACTCCTTTGAGCCACAGGCACTGCCCTGAGACCAAATCTTTTTATAAGTGCACCTTGGTGTGAGGTAAATATAAGAAGGAATCCTAATATTAAGAAGTTTGGAAACTATTGAATTGCAGCCCCAAACCCAGTGAGTCACGAATGTGAGGATCTAACTACCGCCTTTCCCCCAAATCTTTCTCAGAATGGGCCCAGCTTTGTGCCTGCAAATCTGCATTTTGGGAAATAGGAATAGCCTCGTTTAAGACCTTTACCCTAATGATGCAGTTATGTGAGAGACCTTCCCAGGGCCCATCTCTGCAACCCCTCCCCTCCCTGTGCCTCTCTCCTCTCAGCACACAAACCCAAGCTGTTAAGGGAGAAGGGCCCCAGGGCACATGAAGTGAAACACCTCTTCAGAAAAAGGAAAATGTGTCCCAACTTCTCTGAAGGCTGAAGCCCAGCTGGGGACTCTCCTCTTCCCCAAGGGCTGGCATGAGAGAGCTCACCTTTGGGAGAGAGCTGGCTGGGGAACAGAGGAACTTCAGATCAAACTTGAGCTACTTGGCTTCCCCATCCCCACTCCCACCCCACCCCCATGCTGGTGTGCTGCGGGGTCCCTGTGACAAGGTGAGCCTGAGCGGGTATACAGAATGTAGCCTGAATCTTGAGAGACGGCAAGTGTGGTGCTAATTACCTGGGGATTCCTCTTACTGTGCCTCTTCCTGAGTCGCCATAAAACCATACTGGATGGGCTAGGCGCCTGTGGCTCAAGCAGCTAAGGCGCCAGCTACATACACCTAAGGTGGCGGGTTCGAATCCCCAGCCCGGGCCCGCCAAACAACAATGATGGCTGCAACCAAAAAATGGCCAGGTGCTGTGGCAGTCGCCTGTAGTCCCAGCTACTTGGGAGGCTGAGGCAGGAGACTCGCTTCAGCCCAGGAGTTGGATGTTGCTGTGAGCGTGATGCCATGGCACTCTACCCAGGGGGATAGCTTGAGGCTCCGTCTCAAAAAAAAAAAAAACATACTGGATGGGCCCCACCACGTGTTACATGTGATGATGAGCCAGCTACAGACAAGACCCCCATCCTCACTCAGCTTATAGTCAAAACCAATCATCACATAAATAAAATGAAAAATTGTAACAGCAATCAGTGCTATAAAGGGGAGGGCCACAGCTCTATGACAGCACAGAGCAGGGATTTCTGACCCAGACAAGGAAGGCTTCCCTGAGGAAATCACATCATATGAGGACTAGCTGAAGGAAAAAAAAAAATTTATTTAGCTTGGGTCAGAAAAATCCAATTGGTGCACAGGGCGTAAGTACTGTCTCTTAATCTCCCCAAATTTGGGTTTTTAGAGACAGAGTCTGGCTTTTTTGCCCTGTTAGAGTGCAGTGGCGTCATCATAGTTCATTGCAACCTCAAACTTCTGGGCTTAAGCAGTCCTGCCTCAGGTTCCCCAGTAACTGGGACTAAAGCCATGTGTCCCCACACATGGCTAATTTTTTCAATTTTTAGTAGAGACAGGAGTTGGCTTTTGCTCAGGCTGGTCTTAAAATCCTGACCTCAAATGATCCTTCTACCTTTGCCTCCTAGAGTATTAGGATTATAGGCACAAGCCACCATACCCAGCCTGCTGTTTTCTAATCTCTAAAGGCTGTCATAGGGGAAGAGAAGATGACTTGTCCTGGGCGGTCCCAGAGTGTAAGAGAAGCTATGGAGAGTAAATGTTAGTTTAACCAGAAAGCTTACCAACCATCAAAACTATTCAAGTATAAAAAAGTTACAGCATGTGCCATTTTTGAGTTCTTCTTGGGATCAGACACTGTTCAGTGCTTTGAATGTAATATCTCATTTACTCATTTACTTTTTTTTTTTTTGAGACAGAGCCTCAAGCTGTCCCCCTGGGTAGAGTGCTGTGGCATCACAGCTCACAGCAACCTCCATCTCCTAGGCTCAAGCAAATCTCCTGCCTCCGCCTCCCAAGTATCTGGGACCACAGGTGCCTGCCACAACGCCTGGCTATTTTTTGGTTGCAGCCATCATTGTTGTTTGGTGGGCTCGGGCTGGATTCGAACCCGCCACCTTAGGTGTATATGGCTGGCACCTTAGCCACGTGAGCCACAGGCGCCAAGCCTATCTCATTTACTTTTTACCACAACTCTACAATATAAACATAATTATTTTTCTCTTCATTTTACAGATGAGCAAACTGAGACACAGAGGGCAAAATGATTCCCTGAGGTTGCCTAGTGATAGGTGGTAGAGGCAGGATTTGAACCAAGGTCATCTGGCTATAGAGCTGGATTCTTTTTTCTTTCTTTCTTTCTTTTCCTTTTTTTTTTTTGAGGCACAGTCTCACTATGTTGCCCTCAGTAGAGAGCTGTGGCATCACAGCTCACAGCAACCTCAAACTCTTGTCTTAAGTGATTCTCTTGCCTCAGCCTCCGAAGTAGGTGGGACTACAGGTGCCTGCCACAATGCCCAGCTATTTTTGGTTGCAGTTGTCATTGTTGTTCAGCAGGCCCAGGCTGGGCTCGAACCTGCCAGCCTCAGAGTATATGTGGCCTGCACCCTACTTACTGAGCTATGGGCGCCACCTAGAGCTGGATTCTTTTTTTTTTGAAACAGAGTCTCACCATGTCGCCCTCAGTAGAGTGCTGTAACATCACAGCTCACAGCAACCTCAAATTCCTGGGCTCAAGTGATTCTCTTGCCTCACCTTCCCAAGTAGCTGGGACTACAGGTGCCCGCCATAATATCCAGCTATTTTTTGTTGCAATTGTCATTGTTGGTTAGCTGGCCCAGGTCAGATTTGAACCTGCCACCTTTGGTGTACGTAGCTGGTGCTGTAACCACTGTGCTATGGGCACTGAGCCTCAAGCTGGATTCTTAACCACTATTCTCTACCAGTTTGGGGTGAATGTTCACATTTTAGCTAATAGATACAGGATTCAGGGATCAATGAATAGGGGTGAGACTCTGATTTCTAAGGTCCCATGAAGCCTGGAAAATGTTTTCTGTTTTCTCCTCTAGCACCATCAAAAGGGATGACTTTACTGCACGTCTCTTTGATATCCACAAGCAAGTCCTGAAAGAGGGCATTGCCCAGGTAACCGTTTCCAGCCCTACCCCAATCTGGAACCCGCCCCTCCCATCTTTGTGTGTGTGTGTCTGTGTGTGTGTGTGTGTGTGTGTGTGTGTTTTCTTTTTCTTTTTTTTTTACCAGAAGAATTTGGCCCACGCCCTAAGCTCATGGGAATCTGCTTCTCACTGGATCCCACTGGGTTTGGGAGTGGTAGCTGGTGTCCATGGTACCTGTCTGCTCTGTGGCGAGGCCCCCAGGGTCAGCTCTCAGGCAGACGTCCTCAGCCTTCAGTTCTCCCCACAGACTGTGTTCCTGGGCCTGAACCGCTCAGACTACATGTTCCAGCGCAGCGCAAATGGCTGTCCAGCCCTGAAACAGATTGAAATCAACACCATCTCTGCCAGCTTCGGGGGCCTAGCCTCCCGGACCCCAGCTGTGCATCGGTGGGTCCCTTGAGTGTCCCCAGGCATACCTGTGGCATGACAGCCTGGTGGGCCTACTATCGCTGGTTGGGCTCGGTATCTACAGCTATAACTGTGCCTTCTTGGGTTCTGGGTCATATGTTTATCCCCAAGGCGCAGTTTTCACTTGCCATCAGATTCTTGATATGTCAGAGAGAAAAGGGACTTCATGACTCATCTAGTCCTGCCCCTTCATTTACAAGTTTGTGTTGCAGGCAGAGGGAACAGTATCTCTAAGAGCCTCAGGGTGACAAAGAACTTGACGTGTTTGAGGGCTTGATAGGAGGTCAGAATTCAAAGCAGAAGAGGAATGCAAGGGTTTGCATCTAAGACCCTAGTAGCATCCATTTCTAGCCAACAGTGATGCTCCAGGTTGCAATGATTTCAGAAGGTCTGCAGCAGGAATTTAGGCAGCATCTGGGGGCCCAGGGTAAGGGGCTCCACCTCACTGGGAGGCTAGGATGAGGAGGGATGGAATAAGGATCTCAGGGCTCCTCTGGGCCTGTATACCAGAGGCCAGGTTTAGGGCAGCCCAGGGTATTCAGCCTGAAGTGGATCCTCCAGGAGTGTGATGGTAAGAAGATTTTTAGTGTGTGGCTGATCCTCAGAGTGGTGTTCTTATCAGTATCTGTGAAGTCATGGGCAGCGGGGATCTTCTAGGTCCATCCAGTTATTAAAAAACCGTCTGTCTTCCAACAGACATGTTCTCAATGTCCTGAACAAGACCAAAGAAGCTGCCAAGATCCTCTCCAATAATCCCAGCAAAGGATTAGCCATGGGAATTGCCAAAGCCTGGGAGCTCTACGGCTCAGCCAAGTAAGGGTGTGAAAGAGCAGCAAGAATGTCCTGCTTTAGATTAAACATTCATGGGTGCAGCAACTTCTTTGTCTGACATCATTAGGGAATAAGAGGATTTTTCTAGGAATAGAAACTTATACTTTTAAGTGCCAAAATTATTCTAATGGAGTTTTAGGCTTCCTTAAATAAGATACTGACTATAACCCTTTCTTGTTGCCTGAAATTCACCATTGTGACTACCAGCAGTTGGATCTTGCTGTAATGCAGCAGTGCTACCTGGATTAGAGAGGCTGTTTACTGCACTAATGGCTCTAACTGCTGGGCTTTAAGTTCTCATTCATTTTTTTCATAGTTCCTATCTGCTTCCCAGTTATTAGCTCTTAATCTTTACTGCTGTCAGTGTGCTTGAATTTTGAATCCTCCACTCCCACCTGCATATGCCCCTTCTGATTTGCCGTGGTTTGGGAAAGCAAATGATCCAGGTTGTTATGATCATGTCTAAAGAGTATGAGGGCCCCTTTGATGAGGAAGTGTGTAAGCTTTGACTTGGGAATTTTAAGGTGTCCATTTTAACTGCTTAGAGCAGTGGTTCTCAACCTGTGGGGCACAACCCACAGGAACTGTATCAAAGGGCCACGGCATTAGGAAGGTTGAGAACTACTGGCTTAGAGGCATTTTTTGCTTCCTTTCTATTTCTTTTTTTTTTTTTT